CTGTCACCCCTGCTGAAAAATCCAGCATAAACCAGCATGGATTCCAAGCTGGTCCAAGCTGGTATAGTGCTGGTCCAGGCTGGTTTATACTGGTATAGTGCTGGTCTAGGCCGGTTTATGCTAGTTTAGGCTGGTTGATGCTGGGATAGTGCCTGTTTATGCTGGTTAGTGCTGGTTTAGTGCTGGTTTATGTTGGTTAGTGATGGTATAGTGCTGGTTCAGGCTGGTTGATGCTGGCATAGTGCTGGTCCAGGCTGGTTTATGCTTGTATAGAGCTGGTCTAGCTGGTGGACCAGCATATCCATGCTGTTCTCAAGCAAAATGGAGCTGGTGATGCTGGTTCACCAGCATGGGCTTTCTAGGGTTGAGTGTCAGTAGGCCAGCTGTCTGTATGCAAGTAGTGTTTTGTGGACACACAGTTTTTGTTTGCATATTTCTCTATTTAACACATTAATGATGTAAAGGAAAAAAACAATATAAGGGTAACACATATAATTTACTGAATTACATAACGTTGGAATTTCTTTTGCTGCCTCTGCTGAAAGTAGAACTGAAAATGTTAGTTGCTTAAGTTTTGATTACATTATTAATCAATGTCACTGATAAACTGGTAATGTGTTTTAAAGCATCAAAGGAATTGTCTCCTGTTTCATAAGATCTGTACATTAATCAGTTAAAATGAGCTTGTGTACATTGGATAACAGGGGTTATGAGAAGAGCTCTTTCAATTGGACAGTTAATAACTTCATAATGAAAGTTCAAAACTGAAAGTTGATGTTTTAAAAGACTTTCATAGTTATCTAGGAAGTCACATATGCCCAAATCCAGCTTTCAGTCACTCATTTCAAAAAGTGCACATAGTAAAAGGTATAAATAATATATTATTGAAAATAATGATAGCGTGCACTTTTAACAATTTCTGAAACAGAGTTAATTCAACCAATCATTTATAAATAACCCTCCTACTATTTTCCCTTCAATTTCGTTTGTATATATATTGTCTATTAATGTAGCAGTGTCTTTTGTTAATCTACTAGGTTTTGTAATCACGGGAAATAAACCTTTACTATATAGAGTGTCCGTAAAATCTGTTATCCTCATATTTCCATTTGGATTCAACAAATCAATATTGAAATCTCCACATATAATTTGTAACTTATTCTCATTCCATTTATCAAGCATACCAAATAATTTATTCATAAAGGTATCCATACAAGTTCCTGGTGATCTATACACACAACTAATAATTATATTTCTTGATCTTTCAATATCGATTTCTATGGTTACACATTCCAAAATATTTTCTATAGTCACTGACGTACTTTTAATCAGATTACATCTTAACGCTGTGTCAACGTACAACGCAACTCCTCCTCCTTTCTTATTAACTCGAAAGAAATCTTGTTAACTATATAACATATATAATATGTACAGTCTTGATCTGTAACTACAGACATTTACCAGGACTTTCATAGTTATCTAGGAAGTCACATATGCCCAAATCCAGCTTTCAGTCACTCATTTCAAAAAGTGCACATAGTAAAAGGTATAAATAATATATTATTGAAAATAATGATAGCGTGCACTTTTAACAATTTCTGAAACAGAGTTAATTCAACCAAAGTCAATGGCCAAGTGCCCAACTAAATGGAACACTAATCACAATAACGGTAACGTCAGCGACCTTTGTGCATGTACCATATGAAATAAATAAAGCCAAACTGTTTTGCAATAAGTGAATATGGTAATTCTGTTTTTGCAGTTGTTTATTCATCCTCTGGTGAGATAATGATTTCATCTAAGGCTTTGTGGCTGTAAGTAGTTGTTGGGTTTCTGCTCACCACTTTACTTTTTTTTCTGTTCCTGCTGTTCCTCTTATCCTCAGTAATCCTGCTTGTTAACTGCAGGTGTAATCACTAAAATAATGTATTAAAATATATTTGGAAAATTGTCTTGATCTGTAACTACAGACATTTACCAGTTTCAAAAGAAATGTGATATATAACACATATGCAAGTTTTTTTGTGGTCTTGCTGGGATCATACCAGCACCCAAAAGACAACAAATGCTGGTCCACCAGCACACCAGTATCCCAAGCTGGTCCCAGAATGCAAAACATACCTTATGCTTGTCCACCAGCACACCTGCTAACCAGCAAACAAGCAACCCACATCCCATGCTGGGATCCAGCAAACCAGCAACCAGCATCCCATGCTGGTCCCAGCATGCAAAACATACCTTATGCTGGTGACCAGCAATGCTGGATTTTTCAGCAGGGACATCATCACTAAACACCAGTAACCCAGTGCCACTGGAGGCCATGCATGCTCATGCCATCACACTGCTTCACCATGTTTCACAGATGATGTTGTATGCTTTGGATAATGAGCTGTTCCAAGCCTTCTCCATACTTTTTTCTTCCCGTCATTCTGGTACAGGTTGATCTTAATTTCAGCCGTCCAAAAAATTCCTTTCCAGAAGTGGTCTGGCTTTTTTTAGATGTTTTTTTTTTTCGGCAAAGTCTAATCAGGCCTTGTTTGCCCTTTGGGGTGTACCCTCTGTAGACCTCCTGGAGAGTGTTTTTCTCTTGGCTGGATGTTGTTAAAGGGTTTTTCTTTACCATGGAGAGGATTCTACGATCATCCTCCACCGTTGTCCTCCGTGGACGTCCAGGCCTTTTTATGTTTCTGAGCTCACCAGTGCGTTCTTTTTTTCTCAGAATGTACCAAACTGTTGATTTGGTCACTCCTAATGTTCCTGCTATCTCTCTGATGGATTTGTTTTGTTTTTGAAGCCTAACGATTGTCTGTTTCACCTGCATGGAGAGCTCCTTTGACAGCATGATGTGGGTTCACAGGAACAGCTTCCAACTGCAAATGGCACACTTAGAATCAACTCCAGACCTTTTACCTGCTTAACTGATGTAGAAAAAAAATGAAAGAATAGCCCACGCCTGTCCATGAAACAGCTTTTGAGTCAATTGTCTAATTACTTATGGTCCCCTGAAAGGGGGGGGGGGTACATATTAAAGAGCTGTAATTCCTTAACCTTTCCTCCAATTTTTAGAAGAATACCCTCAAATTAAAGCTCAGAGTATGCACTTTAAGCCCATATTCATTATATAACTGTAACTTGAATATGTTCTGGTCAGCAGCTAAAATAATAAAAAATAGTGACTGTGTCCAAATATATATGGACCTAAGTGTACACACACACACACACACACACACACACATTTGCTGTTGTACATACATGTTGCTGTATTATAGATCTTGCTTTCATTTCCATCTGGAAGATAATTTCATTGCATTTATCAACACTATGTTTGCTGCGCTTGCATCATAAGAGAAAACGTGTAAGAAGGTTGAATCCATGCTTGACAAGCTCCTGACTCAACATCTCCACAGGCCTCTTCCTCTGTGGCTGGTGATGTTGTTCTGGACCATATCAGTGCTCTTGTTCCATTCAAAATAAACTTGATTGTCCACCGGAATGTTCTCAAACTTAAATTCTGAACAATGTTTGGACATTTACTTGTAAAGAACAGTTGTCCTAGGACGACTACAAATATGCACTATCAAAAATCAAAGCACAATATTTATATAGAAATACAGAAGTGTATTGACAGACTTTCTGTGTTCTAGCTTCTCTAAAGTAGAGGGCATGATTTCTTATATGGTAAATTAGGGTAACTGATTTCATTTGAAATGTGTCTATACATTCTACTTCTTCCATCTTGTTGTCCACTTCTTCTCTGTCCATGTCTTTTTACAGTCTCTCCTCTTGCTCTGTCCACTACATCAATGCCCTCCTCTCTACTCATCTCTTCTCCCTCTCCTTCTCATCTCCTCTTTTTTACGTCATCCTCTCTGCTCATCTCTTTCTATCTGTTCCACTCTTCTTCTCTTGTTACACCCCTTTCTGTAACCACTCCTCAAACTTTTCCACTTGGACCTCTTTCTTTACCCCTCCTCCATTATGTATGTATGTATTTATGTACTTATTTATTTATTTGCATACTCTTTTCCCCTTTTCCCCTTTATAGTAAAAGCAATTACCATAAATGTGTAAACGATTAGGAAAATGTGTTTCCTGTGCTGTTAAGTGAGCAGCTATTAGTTTGGGGCCAACTGAAAATATACCATGTTCTTTTGATGATATGACAGATTACAGAGTTTTGTTTGTTGTGTTTGGACAAATGTTACATAAATGTTTGCGATTTGTGTACCTTTTTTTCAGATATTTTAATGTATTGGTTGGTTGTTGTATTAACTATTATGAAAACATTTGAGAGTTTTGTTCACAGTGTTTTGAGAAACAATATTTGCATGGTTTGTAATTTGTATGAAATTAATGAAAACTTATAATCTGTTTAGGACAATTATAAAGTGTTCCACTGTTTTGAGAACAGTAACCTGAGTTTGGAGAAATGTGTCAAATCGATTGAGAAAAACTGTAATATTGAGAATTTAATTTAATTTCAGCACTTAGCAGGAAAATTAAAATGTAATAAAGTAAACTGAAATAGTAAACTGCAGTAAATAATGCAGGTCTTCCTAAAAATCATATACACAGGTTATTAGTGTTACCTAAATAATAATAATAATACTTAAAATACAAATGATGTTAACTAAAATAAAATTTTAAAAACATCTTACTAAACTCTAAAAATTATATTAAAATAAATATTGTATAAAAACATAAAAAAACATATGAAAGTATATAAATTATGCATAAATAACACTACCTATGCATTGTCAAGTACTTGCACTTTATTGAATACAAATGACTTCAAAGCAGCTTGACAGAAATAAGTTTGCATGTTTCAAAATTCAGTTTCAGGAATCAGTAGTTTCAATTTTCACATGCAACTTTATTGTGACCAACATTGAGGACTGGAGAATATTCCAGGAGGTAAATGAAGAACATCAAAACTGATCCGAAGTTTGGGTTTCCCCATAATCATCATCGACATCATCATCATCATCATCATCTCTTTCTTACAGCACATTGAGCTGTAAATAAAACAATTCATTACATCATAAAATATAATTTTCCATTTTATTTGTAATATATGCAGAATTATTTTAATAGTTTAATTTTTACTTCAAAATCAACATTCATTTCAGGTTTTCCAGTGTTTGCATGAACAAACTCACCTGGTGAAGCTACCTTCTGCATCGCTTCCTTTTTGGGTGGTTGAGACCACTGCAGCGTCACGTCAGAAAACCCTCGTTCCACCAAAGCAGACTGAAGCTGAAATCAGCAGATCTCTTAAAACTGCTATCAGTGCACTTAGATTTGTTTATGTTTCCCTCTCTCACCTGTGACAGGAGCTGGACTCTCATTTCAATTTCAGACAGACTCGAGCTGGACTTCAGTTTCATCTTCACGAAGGTTTTCTTCAGTACAGGACCTAAAAGAGTGACACAAGAGTGAACATACATAGAAGGGAAAAGAAAACTCTAAATGCAAATACTGAAAACATAAAATGCATTGTTACTAAAATATCTACAGCAATTTAGTGCAAATGCATCTCTTAAGATTAAATGGATGCAATGAGAAGTTGTGTAATGATCCTCAAAAATCAATGAAAAACAAAAAAAGACCCAGATGACATTTAAATACAAGTTCACTTTCAATGATGCACGTGCATCAAAGGGGGCTTGAGCACCTGCCCTTTTTCTTCCTCGAGAGAAAGTGCCCCTTTTTCTGCAGAGTTAAAAAAAATTTTTTTATAAATTAATATGTATATATGTGTGCGTGTGTGTTTCTGTTTGCGCACAGCTTTCCCTCTCAAACAAATAAAAAATCAAACTATCAGGTCGGGTCGGGAAATGTTGAAACTCTGTCGAGTTCTGATGCCTTTCTCCCCTCCGCCGTGTATCACGCACATCACAATCACAGACAGAGAGCCGCAGAAGTGAAGCCCTCCCTCCCTTTCCAGTTGTGTTTGTCTTGCTGTGGAGGTGAGGGGTGATGAACAAAAGACTAAGCTACCTGTGCCTCGAATTTACAGCTAATTATCCAAAAGACAAAAGGCAATTATAGTTAGTTTGTCTTTCTAGTGTGTGTTTCTGTTTGCGCACAGCTTTTCCTGTCAAACAAATAAAAAAATCAAAATATCAGGTCGGTTCAGGAAATGTTGAGACTCTGTCGAGTTCCGATGCCTTTCTCCCTGAACCGATGCCTTTCTCCCAATAGTGTAGCACACATTATTGATCGGCTGCACATCACAGATGCCCTCCCTCCCTTTCCAGTTGTGTTTGTCTTGGGGTGGAGGTGAGTGGTAATGAACAAAAGACTAAGCTACCTGTGCCTCGAATTTACAGCTAATTATCCAAAAGACAAAAGGCAATTATAGTTAGTTTGTCTTTCTAACATCCATGACTCATGAGAGCTACTATGTAAGTTAGCTAAAGTTTAGCTAAGGCAATAGGAAGTCTAGTAGGTTAGACCAGTGCGCATTCTTTCACTGCATGATTAATTTTTTTTTTTTTTAAATGCATTTAGAATGATCATAAAATTCAAGATATGGGGGCAGAAATTTATATCATTTCATATAGTTAACCAGTATCACGCGAAGACTGACATTTTTTTTCCACCAAAAAGCAGCATGATTACAAATGTTATATTGATTTTATACAGCAGTTCAATAAACAAGAATTTAATATTAAGACACTTACGTTTTAGACACAACATTGACTGTTCTTGCTCTATTTCGCCAACAAATATAATTCCAATTTGCGTCTCTGAGCAACATGATGCTGTTTCGTTCCTGAAAAGCAGCATGATTACAAATGTGATATTGATTTTATACAGCAGTTCAATAAACAATAATTTAATATTAAGACACTCATGTTTTAGACACAATATTGACTGTTTTTGCCAACAAATATAATTCAAATTTGTGTCTCTGAGCAACATGACGCTGTTTTGTTCCTTTAAATGTTTAAATGATTCGGTTCAGTCACAATGACTCACTTATTAACAGTCAGCATAAAGATAACCTTTGTAGATACAGGCTCGTATTAGGGGTGTGCGATATATATCGTCTGCGATAATATCATAATTGTTGTTTTAATGATGTGGGATTTGACATTATCGAGTATTTAGCAAAAACCATTCAAAACACGCCTACAGAGCGCATGCAAACATTACGTGAAGTCTAGAGACTAGTGCGAGTGTGCATTTAGAGTGTGTTTTCTGCTTTCACTGCATGATTTCAGTATATTATTCAGTCAGGTGTTTCGTTCTTGAATGAATCAACCGTTTAAATGATTCCGGTTCAATCGCAATGACTCTCTTATTAACAGTGACTTGCTGCCACCTACTGGCAGTTTTAATTTCACATTTAAAATATATTTTCATTTAAAAAAATAAATCAATAAATATCAGTATTCAATGTTTTACGTTTAAAATATCAAAACAGTATTAATGCATTTGTAACTGCAGAGTGAACAGAGTGTAAATGCATCTAAATTCCCCTTCTAATCTTCTAAGATTTTATAAGCTTCTGTGTTTTCTCTGCATTGCAAAGATTCATTTTGTCAATACTGATTTCATTTGCTTGGTAACAGCCCAAATGACTTATTATTCTAACTGACTGATTCAAGCATCTCTCAGTCAGTTTATGGACTATGCTTTGTTGACTGTTGGTTCAACGTTCACTGTGGGTGTCGCGGAGGAACGCGATCCCGCACTCACTCGTGTAATGGCAGCCGCACTAGAGCACGCTCACAAAATGGCAGACTCAACAGCGCCCCTTTATGTCACAGCTGCCCATCATGAGTCAAGTCAAGTCACAATTGATCTTCCTGAGTCAAGTCAACTCACAGCTGATCTTCCTGAGGCAAGTCTAGTCACAGTTGATCATCATGAGTCAAGTCACGTCACAGCTGATCTGCCAGAGCCTCGTCACGTCACAGCTGATCTGCCAGAGCCTCGTCATGTCACAACTGATCTCCCAGAGCCTCATCACGTCACAGCTGATCTCCCAGAGCCTCGTCACGTCACAGCTGATCTCCCAGAGCCTCGTCATGTCACAACTGATCTCCCAGAGCCTCGTCACGTCTCAGCTGTTTGTCCAGAGTCTCATCACATCTCAGGTGATCTTCTAGAGTCTTGCCATGTCACAGCCGATCTTCTAGAGTCTCGTCACGTCTCAGCTGATCATCCAGAGTCAC